TTTCGGCTACTCAAGGGAGGTTATAAATCATCATTAAGATATGATCTTAGCTTGCTTATTTAATTGAGATATGATAAAAATAAACAACCAAGACAGGTCTATATCTTAGTTTAAGCTTGCTTCAAACATTTCTACATGTTTTTAATAACTAGCCTAGACACAAGTGCATGTAAATACCTGTATACCAGCTGGAGAATTTGTTCTTTTAGGCTTGCCTGTGACTCATTATGTTAATATTTGGGGAACTGTCATCTGTTTATGCAGATCATAAACACACAGTCTTTGAGGAGGTGGTGCTCAGTGTCCAGCTTTCACCTTCTCTACCTTGCATGTCAGGGCTAGCTCAGGTTGCCCCCTGCCTAATTTTTTTCCACTGAATGCTGGTTTTGTCAATTGTCCTATCATCTTGCCACAGCTTTGTTTAAACGACTGAAGATGTAATTTTGACTTCCTGATTAAAATTTTGGCTTCCTCTGGTCTCCGTTTTTATTCTATGTGGTTTCTCTTTCATATTAAATCCGCATATGTGTTTAAATTCACATGCAGAAGGACTTTGACTTCAGATGATGGAAAGAGGGCAAGTAAGGGTCTGCAGCAATAAAAGAGCTCCATCAAGTAAAGGGGAAAAGCTGGTTGATAAGATTCTGATTGAGATGGCGTCTTTTTCCTAAGTCACTCTTTTCATTGGCTTTGAGCTGCCCATAGAAAGAAGGCTGTATCATACTAAATGATAAGATAGCCAAGAATATGTCCATGTCTAAATTCAGAATCTGTGTCATACCTAATGTGAACAGTAGGGTCTCAGCAGAGAATTTTAAGAAGAGGCTCAAATTAAGCTAGATATTTTTTATATAAGACCATTAACTGTTAGTTTGTAACCCCATGGTAAGTATCTTTGTAGAAGGAAGACATGGAAGAAAGACCTCACAAAGAGAAGGAAGAAATATGACCATGGAGGTAGATAGTGAAGTGATACAGTCATAGTCAAGGAACATGGGTGATGTTTCTTATTTCTACAAGACACTGGAAGAGAGCTGGGAAGATAGTTCAGCTTTTAAAAGTGATCTGGGCATGTTAGAGCATGCTTATAACTGTAGCACTGGGGAGGTGGAGATTGGAGGATCACTGGAGATTGCTGGCCAGCTAGCCTAGACTAGCTGACCAACTGCAGGTCAGCAAGGGACCCTGATACAAAAAACAAGGTAGAATTCTTGTAAGGAACACCATTCAAGATTGTCCTTTGGTTTCTAAGCACCCATGTACACATGTGTACATGCACACTCCTAAATGCATATATAGAAACACACACACACACACACACACATCACATCACATAACATATCAGAAGCTGGAAGGTCAAGGGATGTGTGGTCCTTTGGAACTGAGAGAGAGTATAGCCGTGAAAAGACCTTGGTATCATATGCCTGGCATCTGAAACCATGAGTCAATTTGTATTGGTTTAAGCTACAGAATTTGTGAAAGTTTGTTATGTTGATCATGTAGAAAGAGTTTGGGGGTCCTGAGCAAAAAAAGCATTAAAGATAGCTCAAAGAGGCAATCATATCCACTATGCTACTTCCCATGGAAAAAATCTTCAGCACTACTGAAAAATCTTAAGATTGGAGACATTGAACACATTCTTAAAGGCCCATCTTGGCAATGATAGACTGCTCCTGTGATGGCCAATGCTTCACTGGGACTCCTCCAAACAGCTATGAATGGGTTATGTTAGCTTCAAATGGGAAGAGCCATGCAGCTATTCCGTGGAGACTACCACTCAAATGTTGACTTCAGACACATATGAGGAACTAGTCTGAAAATTCTACAAACACAGGAAGCCAGAGAATACTCCCAAAAGAGAAATCTTACTTGACTCCCTAGAATATTTGGAGGAGTAGAGGCAATAGGTCATAAAAGGTCAACTGGAGTTTCTTGGTGGTAAAAGTTGATTCCAAATATGGACGTGGAACTTTGCCTTGAAAAAAAGTAGAAAGATAATCATAACAGCTCTGGAGCTTCTACCATGAGAAAGCAGACTCCAACAGGAAGCCATGGCTCAGAGGTGAATATAACCTTCTTCAAGGAGGAGCAGGAAGTAGATACTAAGAGAATAGCATCCAGTAGGATGGGCAGATAGCTTGTTGATAAAATGCCTATGTAACCATGAGGATTTGTGTTTGATCTCCCTCATCTATGTCCAAAGCCAGGTATACTAGCATGCACTTGGAATCCCAGATCTAGGGAGATGGAGATAGGCAGATACATGGAACTGGAAGGTCTGTCACACTAGACTAGTCAGCAGACGTGGGTCCCAGTTAAAGTCTGTCACAACAAATAAGTAGACGCTCCAGAGGAATGACACCATGGATGACTGTGGCCTCCACATGTGTGTAACTGTACATATATGACCAGGTACACACTAACACATACAGTATATACACACAGCAAATAATATGTGAAGTCTGCCTTTTGAATGATTAAGGGATGTATTTAAAACCTATAAAGCAATATACATGTATGTATATTTTTAGGCAAATATAAAATAATACTAACTGCATTCTAAAACATATCCTTATGCCTTTATATCTACAGATATTTTTGCTCCCACCATGAATCAAAGAAGCTTCTTTTGTCAGCAAATGGAGACTATTACAGAAAAGCAAAATTGGTCATAATTCAGAGAACTATTGATCCCAGGGAGCCTAGCCCCAGGGAATATAACTACCCAACTCCTGTACCTAAGGCTCAGGGAAATCAAGAAAGTGCAGAGAAATTGTAATAACCAGAAGACCAGGAAATCTGCTACATGTGAGATTGTGTCTCCTAGGAATGACTAAGAAACTTCACCCAGCTTACCCCAATGACATGGCTGCCTAAGCAAGACCTTAACAATGATAATCCTAATAGATACACTAATGAGGAAGGGGGATATCTCATGGGTCCCACCCCTAGACAAGGAACTACAGGCAACTAATGATCACTGAGAGCAGAAGAATTAGCCTCAACCAGGGAGAGCCTCCTAACTGGTTATCCAATATAAATGCTCAGCCCTGAAATACACACAAACAAGACTAAACAAACTTAGCAGCTTTTGTTTATTTATTTGTTTATATTTATGCATTCATATGCATGCGTGTAACAATAGTAATAAAAGAAAAAGAGTCCATCAATCTGAGCAAGTGAGGGGGTCATGGGAGGGATTGGAGAAAGGGGACATCAGGAAGAGTTGGAGGGAGGAAAAATTAAAATTAGAAGAGACAAAAAGGAAAATCACATGGAAACATGAACAGACTAATTAGAAAAGCAAACTTACCTGTCTTTGCATCTTTCCAGTCATCTGAGAGAATAGTCTTGGTCTGGATAGTGTATTTAGAGATAGGACTGTGATTGTCTGAACCACGGCTCCAAGTCAGTGCCACAGAGGTAGCTCTGATGTCTTCTATTCTCAGGCCACCTGGAGGGCCTGGGGGGCCTGGGATAAAGATGTGGGCAAGAAATCAGTGAGTCTCAGTTAGTGAATTAGACACACATGAGAATATACAAAGGGCCTCCTTGCAGTTTTTTTAAACAATGCAAATTGTGTTGGTTGTTGCTCTTCCCTCCAATGTAGACAATAAGGAATGATAGCATATCCTGTGATTGCACTTAATTATTTCATGTGTCCCTTTGTAAGGAAGGCAACACATTAAAAACAGCAGTGGGCCACCAAGATGGCTCAGCAGGTAAAGGCACTTGCCACCAAGCCTTATGACCCGAGTTCAATCTCCAGGACCCACATGGTAGAAAAAGAGAACTGACTCCCAAAAGTTGTCCTCTGATCCCTAGACACATGGAGTTGTCCTCTGACCTCCAGATGCACACCTGTGTCCCTTAATAAGTATTTCTTTTAAAATATACAAATTAAAAAACCCAGCACTTTACTCATAAGACAAGTGAAATTAGTTGACACAAAAAATGCACTTGGCTTCAGCAAAGCCAATACAAATTGTAGTGTGTTGAGCTTCAATGAATGTCTACTGGATGTATGGACATATTCAATTCAAATATAAGAATATTTGGTCCAGTGTTTCATTCTGTCTCCCCAGATAGAATAAACACCTTACTACAACCTACATGCCACAAAATTAATCATAATGGTAATATATTCAATCTATTTTACTTGGATTTCTGAGAATCATTTTATATATTGTTTTGGCTATCAAATTTCCTATTAGTTACAGCAATAAAAATAAATTACATTAAGAGAGATTTTTCTGCTTAAATAAAATATTGAAAATAACTCTCCACTAAGAGGCTCCTGCTCTGAAAACATCACATTAGATGTCTACAAGTCTTAGAACACAAGACCCCATTTTGGTGAATATGAAACAGTGTTAAAATAGGTTACCATAGGTGTATAATTCTGAAGAAACTATGCTACCTAATTATTCTCCAAACTGACAACACCATGCTGAAATGGATATAACTTTAGCGGTTTCCACAGCTCTTTAAATTGAAAGACTGAAATGGACCACTAAAGTAATAAGGGGAGTAAAAGCTGGTAAATGTCAGGAGATGGTGTTCAAGATTCTTCTATTTCAGTTATTGATTTTTTTTCTTCTTAAAACTGAGGGCTAGAGGAGGTATTTTAAGTAATAAACTAGCAGCCATTACTTGCTGTTAAAATCATTTTGGTTAAGAGACATCTAGTGCAGATATTCAGAAAATGCCTCCACTTAACTCTCTGCAGAGGCATCTTTAACTGAATTGTGCCTATTATATACAGCAGTCAACTATTTGGTTGTTGCATTTTTTTTAAAAAATAGTGAATTTTGCTAAAGCACACGTCTGTCTTTATCCCGCAGCTAATACCTTCCTTATGTTCTATCAAGTGAGTAGGTAGCCTTGGTGGTGCTTCCTCATTTATGATTGGGTTTTACAGAGGATAAGCAACATCTCACACCCTTGCCAGTCTCAAGGAAGAAAGTATTTGTGTGTCAATAAACACAGGACACACCCTGTTGACAGCAGTAAAATTTATTCCTTAGAATGATACATACGAATACAATAAAGGTAAACAAACTTTTAAAATTATCATCTCTGAGTGTGCTTTTACTTAATGTTAAACGATCAAATACAGATATGTACACAATATAGAGCATACTTGCTATTCAAAGAGAATAAACCACATTTTTTTTTTTAACGTGTAAAATCCAGACTGAAACACAGGGTCACTTGTTAATGAGACTAACAAGCAAATCAAGTACTGAGCACAGTATTTGAGAGAATTAAAATAGAAAAGGTGAAAGAGGAAAGAAGCAATTTTTAATGGAAGATAAGCTTCTACGATGCATCCAAACTCTGCTGAGCATTAGTGTACAGCGATGTTACAAGGGCTTGCAGAAGAAACTCCCAGGTTAGCTTCTACTTGCTGACGTGCTCATCATTTCCCTGCTGTTTTTCTCTGAAATTCTTGGAGTTTCAGGTGAGCAGTAGTGATGATGTTGCACACGTTAGTAGATTGGTTAGGGACTTTGTGTGCATCGTAACTTTTTGAGTTGTTCAGTGACTGAAACATGACATTACTGGGCAAATATATGGTTGTTATTTGTCATGTTGATCTCTGAGGCACGCTTGGCTTGTTAGGGTCCATTGTTGACCATATGGACGAACTGATCACAGCTGATGTCCTTACAGTGTTCATTCACACACTAACCTTGAGAGGCTGTATTACCAGGAGGTGGAACTGAGGGAGCAGATGAAAGGAGCGGCCAGCACCCTCAAATCCCTTATGTGATAATATTAATTTGCAATATTTTTTCTAATACAAAATAAACTTGTCTGCTTCATAATCTCTTATTATGAGCCTTAGCATTTAATGGCTGCCCCATCTCTCGCGCTTCTCACCTAGTTATTTCTCATATTTGTCTCCAAGATAAAGATGTCACTCAGAGGAAAAACAAATCATAGTAAAATTAAAAAGTTGGAATCTGACAGTTCAAAGTAAGCATGCCTTTAGAATTCACATGCTAATTTAACGTGGTCAGGGTTTTCAAACGACAGAATTCTTGCTTTCTCGTTGGTAAAATGGGAGCAATGTGAGTTCACTATTGGATTGTTGGTGTGACTGGAATAGCCGCCTAGTCCTCAGAACCTTTGGAAAACGTCAGTTACCATTATCGCTCAAAGCGCTTTCTAGGAGTCACGGCTCCTGGAAGCAGTAATTACTCCTAAGAAGAACCGTTCATTTATCATCTTAAAGCAGCAGGGATCCTAGAAAATGAAGTGTTTTCCGTGGCAAGTGAGGGGAAATGCAGACTGCACCGCTACTGTGTAGCATGGAATTCTGGATGGCCGGAGCTGCCCCCAGGCCAGGCTGCGGCACTTCCCACAGGAGGGTTTGACGCAGTGGATGGTCATGTTACTTGGTTGATTTTTTTTCCTCCAGAGTGACGGTGCTGTGGTAGAAAGTGAGACAAAGAAACTGTGTGCCCTAGAACAAAAGGCGGCACCCAAAAAACCAACAGCCCTTTCCTGAGACTCTTCTCAATGACAGATAGGGGGCACGGGGGTTACACATAACTGTGACTTCAAGTTTCCTTTCATTCCTTCCTCTCTCCCCCTTCCTTCTTTCCGTTCATCCCTGTGTACTCTCAATAAATCCTCATGGGAAGAACTAACATCAGGAAGTATACCAGCAAACGGCTATTACACACATTCTCAGCATTTTACCACATATTTAGCATTTGTTAGGGCATCCTCATCCAGAAGATAATGATTTCTATAAGCACATTTTCATCTCAAGGGTACATTATCATGAAACATGATAGAAATTCATCATCTGGAAGGGGCCTTGATTTGAATTATTTTATTCTTCAATTTATTTCTTTCTCTTCATTTTTAAAGATGTATAGTGGCTTTCCCCAAGGCTCACAGGCAATCTCAGAAGAGGGGGTAGTAATGTTTTAAGAGCTAGAGGTCAGAGAAGACAAGGGGAAAAGATTGCTAAGATGCACCCATGAACTCACAACAGCCTTGGTGCCTGCACAAAACCAGAACAAAATCAAAACAGTCTACATTCCACCTTTGAGGTGGGAAAGGCTCATGGCTTTCACCCTTCACTAAGGCAATATTGAAAGGTGATTATTGCTGGGGGTGGGAGAGAGTCAGTTTTCGAAGATGTAGTCCCTGGTAGGTCAGTCACACTCCAGTGGGCGGTTCACACCCATGAGTATATGGGATGCACAAATTAGAAGAAGGCATGACATTGGGAGAAGGAGTTGGGGGAGGATCTGGGGTGAGTTCTGGGAGGAGTAGGGATGAATATGATCAAAGTACATTGTATGCAAGTGTGGAATGCTTAAACAATTAATGAAAATCTTATATCTAATAAAAAGAGCTGAAGGAAGGTGGTGAACTGATGCATTTTTGTGACTAGCTCTTGCAGAGTCAAGTTATTAGTTTTTCTTACCACCATTAAAGAGTAGGGGAGATGGAAACAGTAGAAAAAGAAGCAAAGAAAGGAAAGGGTGGGAAGAGATGGAAAAGAGAGTAAAGTTGGTGAAAGCAGTTCTCTGCTTTCCATCCCTCTCCTGCATCAGTCGCCTTACAATCCTTCTCCAGCCTTCCATGCTGAGTATTTTTGAGCTCACATGTCACATCTCTACAGACTGGCTGACCTCCGTTTCCTGATCCAACCAGATGATGCCACAGCAGCCTTGTGATGATCCCCCTGCTTGGCTAGTGTCTTCCTGCCCTGCTCAGATGGAGGAGTGGACATATACCACCCTTCCTGTTCTACACTGGCTCTACCCTTTCTGTTCCTCATCCACATGGTCTTGCTCTCCAGCTTTAGTGTCCTCAGAGATGCTGACAGAGGATGCTCTGAGCCATCCCCCTTCATCCTTGCAGGATGAAGCACATCTAGTCAGCAGCCTCCTTCCCAGGGTTACATCCAGGCACTGGGGAGTCCACCATCGACCACCAAAGCTTGTTTCAGTTCTGTTCACCAGTGAAGAAACAGAGAAATGTCCAGAATCTGTGGAGTGGCACAGACTGTCATCTGTCACACCATAGTTTCTTTCACTAATTTACTCTTGTATCTTAATCATTTTACTACTGACCCATTGACTGGGTAGACGAAGAAAGAGCCCAGTGCTCAGTGCTCCTCACAGCTAGTGTCTGTGTATTTTGTAAAAGAATTCCGGTCTGGAAAGATGACTGCCAGACCCTCTTGGGCAGTCAGAGACTGAGTATGGTCTGATAGGTGACACACCTTCCTAGCCCAGTGTGACTAAACCAGGGCATGCCACTTTAAAAGCTCAGACCATGTGTCTGCAATGTGAAGTACTTTCCAACGCTGCCTGCTAAATATTTCCAGTCTATGTGATGTCACCTATTCTTTAAATAAATGTTGCCAATTTCAAAGTGGTCATTCTCTTTCTCCTGACAAGTGGTCAGTTTGCAATATAAAAACCAAAGCATCACAACACATCTTCTGTACCCATTGTTAATTTTTACCAAAGTGCTACCCACAAGCAGAAAACAAAAACTATGGAAACCATCACCCTTTATTTGATAAAAATCATCTCAAAATAAAACTTGTCAATAGAGAAAAAACATGTAAGTTTTAGCTGGCCATTTGTTCCTCCTTTACCAAATAAGTCAATTAAAGACCCTTCATTACAACATGCCTGCTAATACTAGAGAATCTGTCAGGACAATGGCTCATTTGTAATGCTACAAAATCAGATCAGTGTGGTATGCAGCTGTTCAAGTTTGAGCTTCAGTAAGTCAGAGATAAATAGCAAATGTTCTCTAATGTTGATTAAAAAATAAATAAAAAAGAACTTCTACCCTGCTTAGAAATGAGATTTTGGCAAGAGGAAGTTAATGAAGCTAAGAAACCTTTCTTGTTTAAAGACGAGAATTCATACTTTCCTACCATGTGGTTTCTTTATGAATTTTCATTCTTTATTTTCTTGTCTGTTCTTGAAGGTATCACCTCAGATACAGCTAGGGAAATTCCCAGGAATCCACAAGGATGACCCCAGATTAGACTACTAACAATAGTGGAGAGGGTGCCTGAATTGGCCTACCCCGGTAATCAGATTGATAAAAACCCTAACTGTCATCATAGAGCCTTCATCCAGTAACTGATGGAAGCAGATGCAGAGATCTACAGCCAAGCATCATGCTGAGCTCTCGGAGTCCAGTTGAAGGGAGGGAAGAGGGATTATATGAGCCTGGGGGGGGGGGGGGTCATGATGGGGGAAATCTACAGAGATGACTGAACCAAGTTCCTGGGAACTCATGAACTTTAGACCAACAGCTGTAAAGCTGGCATGGGAGAGAGATGTGTAGCTTGGTCTGTTTGAGGGACCCTTGGCAGTGGGATCAGGATCGATCCCTGGTGCATGAGCTAGCTTTCTGGAGCCCATTACCTATGGTTGGACACCTTGCTCAGCCTTGATGCAGGGGGGAGGGGTCTTGGTCCTGCCTCAATTGAATGTACCAGGGTTTGCTGACTTCCCATGGGAGCCCTTACCCTTTTGGAGGAGGGCATGGGGGGCTAGTCGGGGGAGGGGGAGTCTGGGGAGGAGCGTGAGGAGAGATGAGAGGGGGATCTGCGGTTGGTATGTAAAATGAACAAAGAAAAAATTCTTAAAGAAAATGCCCCAAGTAGTGACTCAGATGTGTTTCCATGGCGATATTTACAGACACACACACACACACAAAAAAAAAAAAAACACCTCAAAATAGTTTTGAATATTTACTAAAATAGAAATTGATGTAGATAGTTCTTTATGTCAACCACAACTACAAGATATAAAGGATGAATATAAGAAATCCAGAGATCCTTGTCCTTTGAAAATTATTTGTAGTGTAACCATCCATGTGTAATTATTTAAGAGTAATATACACATCCTCAAATAGTTCCCCTCAACCACAGATGAAGTTGTTGGGGGTCACTAATCACTAAATGAAATGACTAAATAATATCTCATTGCTACACGTAAAACTGTCTAAGTGGAGCAAAAATTACTTCTTGGAAAAAAATTAAGAATTTTAAGTATGTTTCTCTCTAAACAAAGAAAACAGAGGAAATTTAAGCAGTCCCAGGAAGAATTGAACATTCGGGTCCAGTCTTCACTTCAGCGTGATCCTAATACAAGCCCCACCCTTCCTCCTGAAGGAGAAGGCGGAGAAGGATCATGGGAGGAGTTACCACAGTTTACTGTGAAAGCAAGCTGTTGAAGACTTCACCATCATCCTGGGAATCTCGCTATATACACTGGCCATGTTTACTTCCTAAACCCAGACTCTGCTCCCAGACACTCGAAGGTCGTGATCCCTGGCTGATGGCTTACAGCTGCTTTTCAACAGTTCCTCCAAAGCACGAAAGGCATTGTTAGATAAAGAAGTCACTAGTAGTGCGACCCCGCCCAGCGTGCACTCCTATTAAAAGGACCAAGGACCGGTGAACTGGACGGCAACTCTTCATTACCTGCTGTAATAAAGTAAACAGCTCCGGTGGCGGCAGCATTCCTGTTTTATATGTCGCCAGGTCTTCTTAACTGTTTATGGTAATGAGCTAACTTCTGAGATACATAATCTCAAAGAAAAACAGGACAGGAAATATGGGACTTTCACTGGGCTAGTATACGATGCCCTAGGTTAGTTTGTGAGGCGTTGTTTGCAGGGGTTAGTAAAGCTAATCCAGGAGTTTAAAACCTCTCACTTCAAAGCGTGTTAAGAAGTCTCAAACATCCTCTACGAACTAGGATGGGGAATGGAATTGTAAAAGCTACAAGGTTGGGTTAATTAGTCAAATCTAGTACGGCACTGCTTTTTTTTTTTTTTTTTTTTTTTTTTTAATTTCGGGAGAAGGGGGCTTTCACACAAAAGGTGAGCATCCCGATCACCAGGTTGGAGGCAGGCTGGCACAGACGGGGAGAAAGGGGTCCACCATGTTTTTCTCTCCATCTTTTCTCTTTTTACCTGCAAGAGGAAAGATTAATGCTGAAGGGAATGTCCAGATGCCCAATTCTGGGCAGGAAATCACCTGCTTTGGGACCTGCCATGTTTCCTTGACAGTTGAAATCATGAATACAGAGCTGTCTACTTACCAAGGATGCTTGCCTAAAGGAGAAAAACTGACACCACGGGCACTGGTCAGTGACCCTTCATTCCTCATCAGCACTAACTGAAGTTCTAAAGCACAAGAGTGGTGTCTAAAACTCCTAGGCAAAAGCCAGAATTTACACCCAATCCCCCACCCCCAAAAGAAAGAAAGATAACCGATGGAAATGAAAGAAAAAGGAGAAAAGAAGGCTTGAGCTCCTGGATTTTAAATTTCATTCTGTTTAATTCAAGTCTAGTTACTAACATATATGTGCTGAGGACTTGTAATTATACAAAGAAGAAGGAGGAGGAGAAGGAGGCGGTGGAGGAAAGGAAGGAAGGAAAGAAAGAAATGAAGGAAGAAAGATTTTTAGATTTAACTTCTAAGAGAAAAACATTCATAAAAATTTATGTAGTATTCCCTTTTGTAAATTTAGCACCTGATATTCACTGACTGGGCAGCCTTGTTCTCAATGAAAGGAAAGACCTAATACCAACTTGCCTAATGTTGAAGGCCAGAGCCTTCCTGTCATCGAATATCAAACCTTTAAAGAACTGGACATGTATGTTAATGTTACGATATAACTGTAAGTAAGGCTTTGGAAGTTTCTATTATTGCAGAGTTGCTTCTCTGTGCTTTGAGGTTGGGAATGTGGAGAGACAGGGCTGGAGCAGTCACATAGGGTGTATCCTCAACATTGAGGTGTCTTTGTGTTCTTGTAGGTTGTTGAGACCCAAGGTCCCTGAGGAACCTAACTATTTCCATCAGCAACAGCCCCCGAACCTGGAGAAATTCTTGAAAGGTAGGCAAAGCTTTCTCCTTGAGAGCCACTAAGAATGCTGGGAGCTGCTGTTTAGAGGTGTGTTCTTTAGGTCCATAGAACCCAAACTCTTCCGTTTCCATAGAGGAGTCCTGTCCTCTGGTTTGTCCCAAAGAATTTCTTACTAATAGTATTGGGAATTCAGAAGATGTGAACATTTTATTTTTATTATACACAATCTGTAAAAACCTTTGTATTTATGGACTGCCATGCACCACATGCATATATTATAGGATGCTCACAAGAAGGAAAGTACACGCATCTCTTCACACATTTACCGCTTCTATATGAAGGAAACACTTGAAATCTTCCTTCTAACTTTTGAAAAATACATATAGCACATTATTCACTGCTGTATTTTTGCTGTCAAAACTATAATGCGATAGAACACCTATCACCGTTCTTCTTAACTTTAACAGGACAGCTGTTGTTCTTCGGTCCCTCCCCATCCCACACTACTCATCCTTCAGGAAGTTAGTGCCTGGTACATTTCTCCTAACATTTCCACTGTGTTCTCACAATGACTATATTTTTTTCTAAAAGTAATACACATCTTAAAGCTAGGTGCATTTTCTAAAAAACTAGGTAGATTTAAAGTTTTCCCTGAAATCTGGTTACTGTCGTATGAATTCCAATGCCCTTTGGAACACTGGGACTGTGTTCTAGGAGTGACCTGAGAAATGTCCACACACCTTCACTTATGTCTTCAGGTTGTCCTGAGTGAGACTACTGCTGACAGAAAGCACTAGGCAATTAGCAACGGAAGTGATTTATTTCTCGGGAACCAGCATGCTGGAATCTGCGATTACTCATGAGAACATGAAGTACAATAAATCCTCTTAATGGAAAAGCACTGTGACAGGGAAAAGTCTAAGACCCACGCCTTCCTGTTCTTATCCAATGGGGAAGTCCCAACACAAAGTAGACTTCACATTGGTGGGATCCTAAAATCACTTTGAGAGAAAGTAGAGGGTACCAGCTGTGGAAAAGCTGCCTTTGTAGACACCAAGAGAAATTCTAGAATCACTTGTCTAACCTTAAACATTCCTTCTTCCCCTCAGTGTATCATACATTTAATCCCAGTAATAGTTAACAAGAGTTAGAGGACCCACAGCCTTAAACCTGCCACTGTAGTGTCCCACACTGGCCAACAGGTAAAAGCTTTGTCCAAGTGCCTCCCCTGTCTTTGTGTAGCTAGGAAGCAATGGGAGATCCAGGGCCAGGGTCAGAAAGGTATGTTGATGGGGGTTGGGGGGTGGGGATGGTGGGGGGTGGGGGTGGGGGTGGGGATGGGGGTGGTGGCGTGGCTGCTGCTGGCAAGTAGAAGCTAGCATGCAGATGTCATCCCCAGGACAGAAATGCACTTTCTCAAAACTAAACATGGCAGCCTCCACAAGAGAAAATGGTTTTGCTCCAAAGGGATTTTACATAAGCAATACCTCCCATGGTTTTCTAACAATCTGGCTGATGCCTTTGTCTTCTTCTGTTCAAGACAATGAATGGAAAAGAGACTTTGTTAATGAAATTACCATTTTAAATAACTCACACTTCTGTACCATTTATCTTCATTTTGGATTACTAGTAACTTGTGGCACTTGGGAGAATTTGATCAAGTTTATATAAAGAATGTGTCCCAACATTGATAGAGATTAATACTTCAAAAGTTTGTTGTCTAATTTGTTCATTTGGGAAAATTAAATATAAAGGAGAGAAAGATGAATTCAATATTTGAATTTTGGAAAATCAGCATCTGTCATATTCTGGTGCTATTATACTGTGGCAGTTGAGAAATTTTCCTAAAATTCCTTTTGCCAGTGAAATAAGATTAATAGTCCCAGTACTATCACAGGAATTTTGTAAAGTGTGTGCAGGAAATTTTATATAAAAGCCCTGTAGACTTGTACACTGTAATTTGAAACATTTAAAAAGTGTGTGTGTGTAATGTGTGTGTGGAGAGGACCCATTTCTTTTTTGAGACAGGGTATCCAAGGTATCTCACTGGCCTGGAACTCACAAACTAGAGTTCACAGGCTGAACAATGAACCCCAGGGATCTACCTCTGAGACTCCATAGCATTAAGAAAACAAATGAAATCCATCACCCCTGCATTTATAAATCTAGGTTCTGGAGACTGAACTTGGATTCTTTTTTTTTTTAAGTTTTTCCGAGACAATGTTACCCTGTGTAGCTTTAGAGCCTGTCTTGGAACAGTGCACCACCCCCCACCCCTACCCCCACTGAACTTAGATTCTTAAGCCCTTTACCAACTGAGCTATCTCCCTTCCTCACTTTGAATGCTTACGCTTAAAGAATTATTCTTTTTATTTCATGAATGTGTGCATGTCTGTGTGTGGTTATGTGCATGAGTGATGTTGCCTGAGGAGGCCAGAAATGTCAGATCCCCTAGAATTGGAGTAATAAGATGTTAAGAACCAATTAACATGGATTCTGGAGATCAAACTCAGGTCCTCTGGAAGAAAAATGTGCACTTTTACCTGCAGATCAAACTTTCCAGCCTCATGACTTTAAACTACGTGAATTGTATGTTGTAAACAATACAAAACAAAACAAAAATTACAGGAAAACGGATCAAAATTTTTTTTTTTTTTTTTTTTTTTTTCGTTTTTCGAGACAGGGTTTCTCTGTGTAGCTTTGCGCCTTTCCTGGAACTCACTTGGTAGCCCAGGCTGGCCTCGAACTCACAGCGATCCGCCTGGCTCTGCCTCCCGAGTGCTGGGATTAAAGGCGTGCGCCACCACCGCCCGGCACGGATCAAAATTTAAGTGTTTGGGGGCCAAAGAGAAGATTGCAAAATGAAGCTGTAACACTACTTACTATTTCTGCTCTTGTATTTATATCTGCATTAAGGTACATAGCAGAAAAATATGAATTACCAGAATTTTCCTTTGCTATTAGGCCAACCATGCAAATGTTATGGGTAGTGATAAAGCTGCCACATCAGTTTGGTGACTTTCTATAGAAGAAATATTTTTAAAAATAGAAAAGGGCTTTCATCTGGATTTCCACATTGATTACCAATCTCACCAACATTATTTGAATCGGTGTTCCATTGTTTTGTGTTACAATGGTCAATCTGCATTGAGAGTTGACATCCGATTGATTGTCTTGATTCAAGCCTTTCTCTTCTGCTAAGTACCTATACTGCCATAGCATCTGATACATGGTGCCTAATGCATCCATCACAATATACCATGGAATCATATACACTAAATTATGTTTTCATATATATTTGCTTTTATTTCATATTCTCAGTCTGTGTCATCATAATATAAAGATTGGAGTTACGGCCGGGCGGTGGTGGCGCACGCCTTTAATCCCAGCACTCGGGAGGCAGAGCCAGGCGGATCTCTGTGAGTTCGAGGCCAGCCTGGGCTACCAAGTGAGTTTCAGGAGAGGCGCAAAGCTACACAGAGAAACCCTGTCTCGAAAAACCAAAAAAAAAAAAAAAAAAAGATTGGAGTTACAAAAACAATTATTTGTCAGCATAATTCAAATTATTTTCTCAAGGTGATCAACTTGACCTCTATTGCTGCAAGCCACAGGAAAATGTAATGGAATCCAGCTACTATGACAAAAGCTAATACTTGGAAAGGTCAAGGACCTTTCTGAAGGTCAAGCCATGGCTTAAGAAATCTTGGTGATATTTTAGCTAATATATATATATATATATATATATATATATATATATATATATATATATATATATATATATATATATATATATTAGCTTGTTCCTACAGTGATTTTCTTGTATGCTATGTGTGCTTCCAAGAACTCCTACCAAGCATCCAAGGCCAAACGATCTCCTGAACTAAGGTAACACCCTTATGGAAACAATGCCAGTATCCTAGGTCAGGTGGATAGCTTTATTTCTTGTGCAATTTTAGCTGAGACCCTCCTTTCTTACACAGCCTTACTAACATTATAGACTCCTAACATTTTTACCTAACCACTTCTAGAAATGTGGATTGAGCACATAAATTCCCTTTTTGATAGACTAACTAATCATTAGTTCTCAGTTGACCTCCTCCTTTA